ACGATAGCCTACTTAGGTCTTGGTTCCAACTTGTCCAAGGTATGAAAACTCCAGGACAGGAATCTGAGTATAATAATGTTAGGTTTTTGATGTGAATGCACATGGCACCTAAAATACTTTGATGAATATGCTTGAATAGAACTTTAAAAAAAAAAAACAGAGAGTGAGTTAATTTTTCATCTTCGTATGTAAACAAAGCCTGGCTGGAATTTATTGATGAGTATAAATATCAAATTTTTCTTTCTAGATGTGCAATATTTTTCAGTTGTTTCATTATTTACTGAATATTACTTGAAACCAATTATTTTAATAAACTAAGAAAACTTACAGCTGCCTGGAATAGAGAGATTCATCAATATCATTTCCGTCATGCTGCGCTGAAGAACCATTGTGGGCCATGTCACCCTGAAAGTCATAAAATTAATTCTTCATTACCATGATAACAAACAGACATAAATAATCTGTGGAAAAAAACAAAATAATGATTAATAATTAAGTATGACCATGCAGTAAAAATATGCTTATGCTTATAAAAAACACTAATGCAAAAATGAAAAAAAAAGCAAGATCTAAATAACAGCTTAACTTATGAAATTATTCACTTCAAATTTGTTACGAATATCAATGTTTTTCTACAAAAACACGTACATATATAAATGTAGATGCATTTATTATCCATTTCCTGAAGATAACAACCAATATTAACCCTCCCAATACTGGTAGATCAAAGTGTGCATGTCCTGACCTTTTTAGTGTTACAATCAAAAGTTAATTAAACTATTTTATTATCAATTTATGTCAATAAACTTAGCATAACAATGTAGTTTAGATAATATACAAATTTAAACAAGTTCTCTTAATTTCAAAAGTACATATTTAGATGAATTCTTAATCTTCACTTATCTCTATCATGCGACATTTCTTCACTCTGCACTGCCCATTTTAGATACTTTCCACCCTTATTTTAACTTCCGAGTTTTAAAACAAATTACCAACTTATAGTACAGGTATTTCTCAGACATATTTTAATCATATAGCCTCCAATAATCTTGCTTTACTGAGGTATAAACCAGAAAGTCAAACCAATATGGTACACCCGCCTGTAAAATACCGACATTTACAATATTTTCAGCCAACATAAATATATTTTAATTTACTAAATCCTTTGTAAGACAAGCTCATTCTATTATCTTTTGAATTAGTTTCATTTTTCTCTATCAGAATCACCTTGACCAGCTAAAGGAATTATTTGAAACCTTACAGCTTAATTGTAAAGACAGTTAAATTTTAATAGTTAAAGGGCATTGTATTGTTTGGAAGTGTTCTTTTGTATTCTAAACTGAATATCTGAAATAAAAACCAAGTGAAGTACTAACAACCACCCTACCAAAAATTAGGGTTAACTTTTATGGAAACTTTGCTTACAAAAAAGTACAAGACCTATATGTAAATACTAAAAATTGTTTTTTTATGTATGTTTTTATTTATTGTTTTAAAATCATATTCCAAATATGCATAAGTTAGTGTTTACACTACGAACTGCATGGGTACACAAAATCTCTATAATTTACAGCAGAGGTTCATTTTTTTTTATGTCTAACAAAAAGTACTAGTGAGAATATATTAGATTTTCAGACAACTTCCCATTTCCTGAATTTATGTTTAATTTTTAATTCTTTACCATGCATTTTAAGTGAGTAATGTAACCACTAACTAACCATTAAATATAAAATAGCTGGTAAAGCAATTAAGTCAAAACAGTAACTAAATAGAATTGGAAGCAATCAACTATTTATAATGTCATTTAATATGTTTCTTTAATATCCTATGTCTCACTATGGCTTCTTCAGGAATATACACAATAGTAAACAACCAACAGGAAACATTAAATAGACTAGGCTTAATGAAGATAAGAGTTCAGACATAACATTTGTAAGCAAAGTTTCCATAAAAGAAAACAACAAAGAAAGTAGATATTTGGTTGCTACCTACTTCATGAAAAATCACATCACCCCAATGCCTATAAGTAGCAAGGAAAGCTCTACAGCCTTGTTTTTAAACTAGACACACAAACACACCTTTCCTTGGAAAAATCAAGTATAGAGGACAACACTCCACTTTCCAGTTCTTATACACACACATGACAACTTGTAAAACCCTGTAAACAACTCTGTTTATATAGTTATTTAACCCCTTTCACTGTTTCACACAACTTGTGAAGTTTTATTTTTTCCCACAACCATTTGAAATCACAACTGAGACTTGGTTGTATCAGTGACCCACAGTAATCCCCAATACCAACAAATAGCAGGAAAAAATCTTCAGACCACAGTTACCCAATATCTGTTTAATCATGGCACTGGGGCATGTGGCACAATGATGCAGAGCAGAAAGTATATGCTTTCCCCAAGTGTCTCCAGCATGGTGATTGCCATTTACAGAAGTCAGATAACATCTTGGCTTTGAAACAGCAAGATAAGGATGATGTAACATTTTGAAAAATGTACACAAATGAAAGATGCAAAAGGCATCCTAGAACATATGTCAAAATCAAGAAACTTGATGGTGTTCAATACATGCATTTTGTTGACACATCTGACATGCAGGTTAAGGTCAGTAGAATGTGTATGCAAATCAGTCACAAGGTACACAAAACTATTTTCATCTTGGTTGATGTTACTCTCCTAACTACATACAACATATACCATATTTTTTGGAATACAAGACGCACCCTTATTTTGAAGACAAAGTTTTGGGGTAAAAAAAGCTACAGTCGCATTTGAAAGATTTTTATTGAACAAAAATTCAATTTGATACTTTAAAAATTAGTATGTATTGTTCTAAACACAAAAGTGCTCAAAACATCGAAATTAGAAAATTCAGTAAATCAAAAAGGTTTACTGTTATT